ATTTTCAACGCAGTATCTCCCAGCTTTTAATAATCTACAATACCGTAAAATGAATATGAGTCTGGACTTGGACTGAAAATTTGCCATTGAGAGCCCTTGATAATAATCATTCTACGGTTCTAAATTTTTCTCACCGAGTCAACCAGACCATCGTTTGAAGACAGCGACCGCAATATGTCTCAATATTGGGTCAGTAGAAACCGAGAGGCTGGCCTCCATAAATAGTTATTAATTGACATATCCTTCAATACGACGAATTATAGAGGCTGTTTCTCACTGACTTCTCGAATTGCGTAAAATTCAAGAGGCCCGTAGGACTCGCCCTGGTCGCCTGATTGGCCCATTGACAAGGAAACCAATCCTCGTTTTGGCTCTGGTTGACGTAAGACAAACTTTATGGCCTGGCTCTGCTGAAGGGTTGTATATTATATCCAAATATATATATATATATAAATAAGTGAAAAATTTTCTATATACCGATTATAAAGGTATAATATGTATAACTTGGTCCAAATTACTAAGATTTTTTGTTTTAGCAATTAATTAATTGCCAGGTTGATTTTCACCATTATTGGATAGTCTTTAGTACGTTCTTTAGCTATTGCCGTTAGGTCACCACCTCGGCGATTAAAAATCACCGAGGTGATTAATCATTTTTAATAATTATTTTTTATTCTCTGTCACGGCGATTTTTAGTGGTAACGACTGGTAAGTCGTTACCACATTGAATTCATACGAATTGGTAAGTGCTTACGATGATGATTTTGAAGTACCTAGTACCGACAAATTATTAGCACGGTAATTTAGCAATTACTTATAAGTCATTACCGTGGTAATTTTGAGACATTACCTGTAATTTCTTAAGTCTGCGATTCTGAGGTACTACCGCGGTAAGTTATTACCACTATGATTTTGAGCAATCACTGGGCAAATTATCTACCCACACTTAGCAGACAAAAAATTATGATGAATCCTTTGCGTTTTTGATTGTGACTTCTCACTACTCTATTTTGTCTGGTCAGACAAATTAATAATAACTATGTATAATAAATATGCATAGATAAATGAGTAATAACTATATAATAGCTATGAATAAGCACTCACACTTTCTGATGCATACCTTATATATATTATTTTTGGTAATTCTTTTAAATTTCGAAAATTACCGCACTTTTGTTCAGGCTCCGACATTCCCATAACACTTATTGCGATTGGCCCAATAATTTTAAATACTTTTTGAATTCATGATAAAAGGAAGTCCAATTATCCAGAAATCAGGCATCGGTGATCAGAAGAACTATTCTCTCTCGATTCCTTAGTATAATTTCCTCCCATCTGTCCCACTAATGTATTGTATAAATTTAGCATGACTTAGATCCAAGATTGTATTCTTCCAACATTTTATATAACTGCCAATTAATATTCTTCGCAAAGTTCTCAGGTCTGAGAAAATTTGAGCGGGCTTAAGCAGCGCACTGCAAGTTTCATGTCGCTTTAAATTCTTTATTAAAACACGGGAGTACAGTCCAGTACAAATAGGCAATTGCGCTCGTAGGAATACTGTCGTGAGCAGAATTAAGTCCTTTTCTCGTACATGGCGAAGGTCAAATCGAAATTCCGACAGAACTTGCAGGCAAATTTTGCCTACTTGAAATTTTATGTTTTGTTGGCCGGAGTGAAGAAAGTATTTCTGTCTTATGATGAATAATCAAGAGTTGAGCTCGGCATGTTGTTGTATCAATTATTCCTTCTGTCAGAATTTCACCTTGCTAGCTCTTCTATTTTAGCAATGGTAACATTTTCCCGAGGGTAAATTTGTAATTAAAAGTAACAGATAAAGAAACAATGTGACTTAATTTGTGTTACATTTCTTTGAAATGCAACAATTTGCCTTAAAAACTTTACTTAAGTATATCCTCATAAATATAAAAGTTTATATGAGAAAATGAATAATTAAACGAATTAATTGTTAGATTATAATCTGCGCACCAGACTGACTCTAACGCAGGGATAACGCACGGTACTGCAATCTACTGTATTTCTCTTATTGTAGTACAATTTTTATCCTGTTGTGATGTATGTACGCTTGTACTTCGCGATTTGTTAGCTGTTAAAAGATGTGAAAAAATGTCTCGGGATTAACTAACAATAGTCCAGATGTGGCCACTTTGAGATTAAAAGATGCTAGCCACATTTTGATTATAGTTCCCACCACTAGCCAAAATATCTGTGGCATTAATTTTGTGGGTTGTACTTTGAATGGATATACCCGGCCAGTCTTGAAAAGATGAATTTCTCCGCATATATCTAAATGTTGAGATGACGAAAAAGAACGGATTTCAGATCCGGACGCTGTGACTTGAGAGCAACTATAGTTCAAGACCGAGCAACGTGGCGGTCTTTTCTTGAGCAAGACGAAAAAAAACTTTTAGCGTTGTCTAAAGGACTTGCAAGCTTATTGCATAAATTCAACAAACGCCGTTTCACGGTCAGTGGCACCTGTCTTCTTAAATCCTACATGACCGATATCGCTGTCTTTGCACTCACTCGCTGACATGAACAATTCAAGCATCAATACTATTGTGTGTACAAGAATCCAGCGTCGCAGTACATTCAACAATATATATTATAATATTCTACTAATTATTATAATATTATAATACATAATAAGAAAATTTTATAATATTTAATAGGAAATTTCTCCAAGTGAATTTGTAGATTGCTACTGGAACACCACGAAGTAAGCTTCCAATTTCAAAATGCGAGTCAAAATTTGATGAAAACTGAGTCAAGAAATTATTAATTTTTTCATTAGTCATATTAATAATAATATTCGCGGTGTCAGCGTTGCAGATAATGCCATTAGACCTGTCGACAATTCTTAACATTGCAGAATTCTTATAGCTTGCTGCGGGTATCGAACACGATACTCACTGCACCAATCTCCACTGTACTTAACCGCCCAACAATCTCACTGATTTTGAGCAGAATTATTGTCGAGTAAAAAATGCAGCGTCATAATAACAAGTAGCTTCCAATAATATTTTACTAATTAATAACTCCCACGGTTGATAGCCTCCATTCTCTAATCGCCTTCTACGCGATGAATCGTACGCAATAATTGTTAATCGCAAGGGTATTTGCGCAAATAAATTGTGTTCCAATGTGACTTGGAATTGGAATTGGAACTTGGTCACATTGGAATAAAGTCATTCCAATGTGACTTTTACTACTACTTCAAACATTTAATTGAGACTACTTTTACTACAACTTTTTACTACTGCTTGAGAAATACAGATATAGTGTCATTAAACAACACACTTCAGTTGCAATATTCAAGTTTACTCAACACGCGAAAAGAAACCAAATATCTTGTTTTTGATTGATTACTAGATTCACTGATGAATAATTCATTAAAATAAATCGCATCTATGCCTACTTAATGGGAAATTAAATAACAAAAATCAACGTTACGACGACGTAGTAAAATATCCTCAAAATTCTAATCATCTACGTACGAACCCAGCCATGCAGATGGATAGTCTATGTCAAATTCAGTCAAATTCTCCATATTCATCATCCACTCTGTTGTATTAACCACGTCAGAGCTACAGGTATACAAGGAGTCTATTTTGGCTGATGAACCTCCTCATTATCTAATGCCATTCTAACAACGAGATGTCGATGAAAAAACTTTAACTATAGACGCTGGAAAATGAGGTTCGTTATTATACGAGTATTATTAGCATTTAATTTTAAATGAATTCAACTAACTTAATGTTGAACATCTTGATTAAATATATAAACTAAATTTTCCAATTTTAATGATGCCTTTCGATAAAACCTGACTTTATGGTACGAACCTGTTAAAACAAAGACCAGATAACTACAAGGAATGAAATGAGATCATAGATTGAATGATAGAATGCATCGTTCACAGATCATGATAGAATAAAATCACATTCTATCGATGGGCTTGTGATTGAAAAAATCAATGTTCAGATACATTACGACAGTTGATTTTTAAGCAACATTTTACCGCAATATTGCTATGTGGCGACGTCCTATATTGGTGACATTTGATTTTGCCCGATTTCAGTATTCTGTAAACACTTTAAGCCAACATTTTTCCAGAAGATGTCATGTTTATGTTCACGAAACAATTTATTACGGTGTTGCTGCCAGCTTGTGGTAACATGGATAACATTTGGCTTCACATTCATTGTCCCATTTGGCAACAATGGGACATTGCATGTAACTGCAACAGTCAATAATGTACCAAATGCATAACTGAGAGGTAAAATTTCCATTTGGGGAGTTAATTTAATTAATTTTTGTTTGTTTTCTGGCAGTTTGAAAATTACTGTCTCCTTCAGTTGAAATTGAATAATTATAATTATAATAGACATCTATTTACTATGGTCATATTTTTTTTCAAGAAATGCTGGCGTTTTTGGTTAAAAAACTGTGAAGCACACAGTTGATTTACTGACAAGGGAATAAGTCACAATATCGGAAAACTGTGACTGATAACTAGAAAGCAAGCAAGTATTTTTAGTTATATTGCTGGTTTTATATGAGTCTACGCGCAAACGATTTATTTACGAAATGAACGATAGAGCAGGTTACTGTTTATTGGTTCGTGGCTAGCGCCCGACGATTCTTGACCGTTTTTCTTCCTAAGAACAACTTCAATATTGTAGCTTATTGATGAACACTGCACCTACACCTATTTTCGAAAATTAATTGATTTTTCCATGCGTATTTTCCACTTAACAAACGATTGAATGTGGTAACTTTACGGCGAGTCCAAAAATTAATTAACCAAAAATAATTCCGATGAATAAATAGATCCTTATATTGATTTGAAAATTCATGTGTTATTTCACCTATTGGTACATATCTGCACTACAGATAACCACATACTTCAACATCATAATGCCTCAAATAACTAAATATTTGATTTGTTTAAATATTTATAAACAAATCCTCGAACTTACCCTCAATGCCAGCGAGCGTGAGCAGAGCTGTCAATGCGGTCTCGGAGTTACCGCGGCGCTCGAGATCCTTGCGTCGCGTGCCAGAGCTGGCGAGCTCGTCCCGAGACTTTTCTGAACCATCGCCCCTCGGCCAGTCATCGATGTTGTCTGAATGTTGAGAGTGGAAACGTTATCTCTGTATCACGCAACTTCACTTTTAGACAGACCAAATTGCGTCAAAATTGAAAATGATTTTTTTTCAATTTAATAGTCACTTATTCAAAAATGCCACAAAAGGATGCCTCAACAGGATATTGGCTAGAATGCAGAAAATGTTCATTATCATAAATAGTTAATGAACGCAAACTTTTCGCTGTGACGTTGTTTTTGCAGTGAAATTTGTGGCTGGCTCCTCGTGTGATACAAACAGATCGCAATGTTTTGGCACAACACTCGGAAAGTTTTTTTTTATTTATTTTCTTTGTTATCTCTGTATCACGCTACTTCACTTATAGACAGACCAAGTTGTGTCAAGGTTGAAAAAGTTTTTTTTCTTTCAATTTACATCTCTTCACTTATTCAAAAATGTCACAAAAGTTGTATCGTGCCAAAAATATTTCTTTCGCCATTATATGTGGATGATATGACCTTAATCTCAGCCTTGCAGGACGATTAACTCTATACCTTCAACAATATTTGACCAAATATTGTTTGTGTTATTATGAGCAAGACCTTACTGGAGTATGAAATTTTTAATCTAAAGTCATATAGTATTTTTTATATCACTGTACATTATGTGCTGTCAATTATTGAAGCAATTTTATTTGCATACCTTAGGAGCGAATATGCTGTGCTCTTGTAATTCGCCAAAACACTTTTGTCGATATAAAATCAGGTATCACTACAAAAATGTTGTAATCTTTCGTATTCTGATTGCATATTAGACAACATATTCTGGTATCTTATTTCATCCTATAGATGTAAATTTATTAAATCACATTGTCAGATGAGACAATGTCTAAAATATGTCATTTTTGCCTAAAATAATTCAAATTTTCATGCCATTCAAAATTATTGTAACAACCAGCAAATGGGGATCGATGAAAATTTCTAAGATTTTAGAGTCGCGCTCTCTTTTATAACGTAAGCAATGTTAAAGCAAAGGAAATCTTCATTGTACAAATTCTCGTTCAAGCTTCCAAATAACATTGAATTTAACTTAAGCAACGTGCTTTAAATTTTAAACAGGAGTTTAATCAAGTGCTATTTAAGAAAATTTATACGCATAAAATTTAAATCCAGAAGTAGTAAATTTTAAAAATTAATCCCACCGACAGTTATGACATGTTCCATGATTCCAAAAGTGAAATGAATTTTCAGTCACAGGTGATGTATGAGACAATAGTTTCGCCTATGCAATCGTGTATAGGCAATCGAATAGAAACTAGCGAATATTTGAAGCGTCTAGCTTCAAATATATAATAATATATAATAATAAAATATACAATAAAATTTTATGCGTTAGAAAAACCGTATTAAATTATAAACAATTGCTATCACTGCAGCTGGCATTACCTATCAGAAAAAAAAAACATATTAAATTATTAACAATTGCTGTCACTGCAGCTTGCATTACCTAGTTCAGATTCCTGGAAAGGAACGTCATCGTTCCCACTGGCTGTTGCTTGCGTGGTTTGTTCGTTGCCAGCGGCTGACGAGATCGAAGCCTCGGCATTAGCTTCGCTAACGCACATCCTGCAGAACTGCTTTGCTTTTTCAGTTTCGATCATTGCTGCGGATAATAAAGTGTGTGGTAAGTACCAAGGGTTTGCGGTCAGATTCCGAGGAAAAATTTAATTCATTTCGAACTGACGGCTATTCAATTATGCGCGTCTCAATATTTTAAGTTCATCACACATAACTGTTGTATAATACCAATTTCGAAAATACAAAATATTCAATTACGAAGATATTAATTTTAACGCAATGTCAAGAAAACCTTTTTAGCCTTCAGTTTCTAGGTCTGATAACCTTCCATTCATATCTGAATGTCATAATCTTTTTTACACATTTTTACATTTCCTATGTTTCGTGGTCCATCAATATATAAAATTATCGTACAGTCCAAACGGCTCGTAAGAATGGAAGGCTGATGAGCTGAAAGATTGATAAGAGAATATTAGAATCTCCTAAACAAAAATTGGGTTAATTGAACAGCGCTGCTGAAAACCCCAATCAAGTTGTGTTCACGTTTTAATATTTTAGTCCGTTCACTTATACCCTTAACGAAAATACGTAAACTTGTAATCTCCTAATCAATGAGGGATCCAGCTAAAGAAATCAAATATTTATTTAGCTGGTTGTTGAGCCGCCGAGTATACATTGTAAAAGTGGACGACATTTAGCGAAGAGCTTTCGTAATTTAGATGGAAGATTTTGAGTTGAGGTTGCAGTCAGTGTCAGTAATTATCACAAAGCCTGGGATGAACTGAACTAAAGTAGGAGTCTTATCAGCTCGCCCCAGAGCTGCTTTAGAGAACTGAAAGCGGCTCAGCAATCGAGGCTTCTTCATCAGCAACTTAGATCAACTGACGCTGCAATGGAGGAAGCCCTACCTAGCCCACCACGTGAAGCCTATAACGAATGAGCGATCTGAGCAGGAACCTCGAGCTTCTTCGCCTTCCATAGGGACTGGTCGTACAAAGTCTCATCACTATTTAATGTATAAGCGATAACACCAACGCAGAAAAATTGTTATTGATCCGTGCTTGTAGGGACTGGTCGTTCAAAGTCTCATCATTATCCAATAACATTAAATAAGCGATAACACCAACGCAGAAAATTTTTTATGTATACGTGCTTGCAAAAAATCAACTATTTAGTCCCTAACATATTGACATTGATATATAATTCGAGTATCGGTCAAAATTGTTATCTAATAAAAAATTAATGATCACGGTCTGGTTTAGAAAATTAGTTGTAAAATGTGGCAGATTTTAGTCCTGTTTCACACAAAATCACCACGCAACTCGTTCGTAGCCTAGTCCTATAAGGCTTTTATCACGGACAGGTGATTTGTAAACAAAACATTGTTAATCAAGCAATGCTATACAAACTATGTAGTACCTGTAACGCTAAAAATCTAATACTCGTAGACAACGATGCATCTAGAACGGCCGTACAAAGCAAGGGAAATGTAACGCTTTGCATAAAAGAAAAGTTTTTTTCGCCTTCAACATAAAGGATTCACGTGGAAACTTGCAAGAATTGAGATTATATAGTGTGAATAACCATTGAAAACAATTTTCATTTATTAGAAATTCGTTAGGTAGGTATAAATTTAATTCCTCAGAGGGAAAATAAATGCAAGCAGAAGTATTTTAAGGTTGCCACATTTTCAGCGAAAGTTTAAAAAATTAAATGGGTATTAACCAGTCTATCGTTGGAATTAGAGGATTACAATGTGAATATCAGTAATAGTTCGGGATAACTTATTAAGCATAAGTAAATCCCCTGGAATGCAGAAAGAATTAAGCAGCTGTAGGAGTACTGCAGACAACAACCATTCATCAAAAATTTCTGATAATAAAGATGACAATAGCCGCTCACCGAGGTACCCCCTAGCGAGCAGTAGGAAGAGAGTCGGCCGCTGGTGGGTGGAGGCGCGGCTGAGGCACATCTGCCACACCGTCACCGCCTCCTCGTGCTGCCCTCGGTTGGCCAACACGCGACCCTGCCACTCGCTGGCCAGCTGCTCGTCTTCAGGCAAGTCTCTGTTGGTCAACAAAGAAAATTTCCCAGTGAAAATTTACAGACGCGGCAGCTTCTGATTTGGATTACGAGAAGCTGGGGCAACTCTAAATTTTGTTAGGGTTAGTGTGTTCGTGCGTCTATTTATTTCGTAGCAAGACAACGATGATCCAACAAGTACTGTTTTTAGACATCAAGTATTGTTTTAAAACAATATTTGTTGCAACAAGTATTGTTTTTATTGTTTTAGAGATCTATTGTTTTTAGACATCATTTCGTAGCAAGTATTTGTTGATCCAACAGATGTTGTCTTCAGGTGTCTACTCATTTTACTGTGCGCCTCTGATGATCCAACTAGCTAGTATTATTTTTAGGCGACTGCCCATTTCGTGGCAAGTTTCTGTTGATCCAACAAGGACTGTTTTCAGACGTGCATATATTTCTTAACAAGTCCCTGTTGGCCAAACGAGGATTGTTTTCAGTCATATTGCTATTTCGTAGCAAATTTCTGTTGATCCAACGAGGAATGTTTATATACAAATATCTATTTTGTAGCAAGTCTCTGTTAGTAAAACAAATATTGTTTCTAGATTCCTACTTATCTCAGCGCAAGTCTCTGTTAGCCGAACAATTATAGTTTTCATGGATCTAACAGCTATGTTCATGTGGGTCGAACGGATAATGTTTTCAAGCTCCTACACTTTATCAAGTCTTTGTTAACCTATAATAATTCCTATTTGGCTTCTGTTTGTTTGCCACCATGCAGTCACTGTGTTTTAAAGCAAAATTATTTTAAAGCTACTTCTAGTTATATAGTTACTTCTAATTTTTGCTGGCTATCACATGAGTAGCGTTTATGAGTTACCCACAATTACCATTCACGCCTAACGAGTATATTCTCTACGCATCTGCTAATTTTCAAACAAGCAATCATGCAACAAGCGTCAACACGTCGGATGCCACGTAATTCAAATTTTCCTATTTCTGTCTAATATTTTCGTTTTTCAGTTATATGGTTGTGTCCGTGAGATGACTTTAATTTGACGGTAATATTTGAAAATGTGTCCGTAATTTGCATCATTATAAAGACATGTCATTCATGATGATGCAAATTTTCCTTGAGGATCCCCATCCCTGCAGGTAAAAAATGGTTTACGGGTCAAAGTGAAGCCGATAATTTATAATTTCCTTGTAATTATTTCAGATTGTAAATATATATATATATATATATATAATATATATATATATACATAGTTTGTACAATTACCGGACAAAAATAAGTCAATATATAATTTATTAACAACGTGTTCTGAGTGTTGCGTGGAAGCCGCATAACTGCAGGCGCTAAAAGCGTCGGTTTACACGATGGCCGAGTCTGAAAAAATACAAAAGAAACTTGCTCCATTTTATCCATTCATGAAAAAGAAGGGGCATTGAATCGATAAGCTACATTCGCTTTGAATCGATACGCAATAACAATCATAACACTTTTGATAATAACACACTAAAAATATAAATATAAACGGACAAGTGCAGCAATTTTTAATTGAGCAAATGAGGAGACGATACATCCAGACGATAACCTTCACATCCAGTTTGTTTGCACCATTAATGATGTTAGAATTGAAATAGAGTAGGAAGTTATTAGGACTCGTACTTATTCAAGATTTGTATGAAAGCAACGACGTGGCGATTATTTTCGAAGATTCTATAATTATATCCGTACAATGATATTGCCACTTGCCAGCAGGGAGCGTAATCAATTTTTTTAGAGTGACAAGCTTTACTTTTGACGTCCACGATCAAAAAATTACGCTTCGAATTTTTTACTATTCGTGAAGGGGATACATTTTCATTACTTTTGTTTTTCAAACGCTTATAATAAATAATCATTGATTTGTAGTACACACAGTCACTCGATGCATGTACATAGTGTATACGGTTTCACGTTTCGATGAGCTTCACTATTTCGAAAAAACTATTGATAATCGAAAAAACTATAGAAATTTTTCTTAATTCTAAATAGTTTTTTCAAGAACAATTCAGTCGCTCTACAATGACTGTCCCAACGTTTTTTGTGCATGACATAGCATTACATAGCATAATAATTACATAGCATAATAAAAAAAGGCACATTTGTTCTCCAACTTGATTGAATGGATTGACTTGGGCATACCATGCAAGCTCGGTACGACTCGGCCAAAGCAACCTTTACAAGTCGCTAATTTCAATTTGGTGTCCAAATATCAACCCAGTATTACAATAAGCCCAATGCTTCGTCTTCAATCAGATGTTTGAAAACCGCACGAATTGTTATTGAGATCTGTGATAGTTATTCAAATTTCGAAGTTTAAAAAAAAAATAAAAATAGTTGCGTTTTGACAGTTTCCATTTCGCTATTTTTTTCTGGCTGCTGATGCATGTAAAAGTATTTACCGGCTGTCGTATTTATACATCATACTAACAAACATTCCTGTAACTTTCATTTAATATTCTGTCTAATTTACTAAAAATCAAAGGTCATAAATCAAAACGATTGAATGTTCGAAAATAATTTTAAAAATCGCAAAGGCTTACCATTATCTGATACGATATATAGAATACATGGTCAACTTTTGTCGCATTTTGCCAGATCCGGTCGTCATTTTTATGCACATAATCTGTCCAGAATAAAAAATCTAATTCCGTTGTCATTTCCGTGAGTTAATGAAGTTCATTGTTTCTAGGTTACTGGACTAAATTCTGCAAACTGTGAAGAATCTAAGCTAAAATTATTTTGCAACTACCCTCTTTTCGAATCAATAATGCAGCAGTAAAAACTAAAATGCATCTCTATCTTGAATTTCTGTCTGAAAATAATCGCCGTAGGTTATCAATAATGTTTGCTTTAATTAGAAAATAAAAACGTTAACGTTTATGAAGTCCAAAAGTATGAGCTTCCCGGGAAGCATTCTCTTAAATTACTTCGTTATGGTAGCTGACCGTGATAGCTGACCAGGGTCTCTACTTTCAAAAAAAAAGTTCAGAGATCGTAAGTTCATCAGCCAATCATTGACGGCCTTTCAAGCAAAATCCACCAATCAATCATAGACAAGAAAATAGAGCGTAAGTACTTACGTTCACTTAGCGAGTTTCGAAAGTATGGCCCCAGTTTGCGATGAAGCTCATAACTAAAGTCAATGTGACCGAGCCAAGCCTGGCATGATCGTGTTTGTATGCTCGTAGAAGCATACTGAAGCTCTCCTATGATCGTCTCCTCAATATCATACAACTCGATTCGATTCTACTAAATTACGAGAATTTTGCTATTGGGTACGGCAAAACGGTCTTTCAACGCCCCCGACTTAAACACCCAATCATTGCGACCGAAAAATCTAATTGAATGCAGATTGGACGGAGGATTTTTAGACTGTGCCGCCAAAAAGGCTATTTGCTGTAAATTAGATAATTGTCGAGTGTACTTTTAAGTGCAAGCGAGTCACCAATCATGCATAGACTTGATCACCAAATCGACGGTTCTCGTTTGATTTTTTCGGAAAAACAGCATTCATTCCGGGACTTTTTTCTTGTTTTGAGGCCCGGCAGCGGCGTTAATCCGCGACGTTCAGTTTTAGCCGCAGTTTTAATATTAGCGAGCAGCGCGATGAGCTCGCTAATCGCACTGGATTTGCTGCCCATGTAAAAGTTTTCTGGCTAGGATGCAGAAAAATGTTCATTATCATAAATAGTTAATGAACGAAAACTTTGGCTGTGATGTTGCTTTTGTAGTGAAATTTGTGGCTGGCTCCTCGTGTGATACAAACAGATCGCAATGTTTTGGCACAACTCCCTGAAATTTTTTTCAATTTACTTTGGAAAAAGTTAAAATAATATGCACCAGGAATTAACTTATCAGTAATGACCTCGTACGCAACGTAAATGATTAATTTTGAGCTTAAATCCAGTCAAACAGCGAGCATACCGATTCTTAACATCTTTTATTGATCTTTTTAGTTACGTAATTATCATTAAATCTTTTAACTTCGATATCAGTTGATTTCCGATAACTTTGTACTTCATCTACGTTCGTTGCGTTGACATGGAAAGAGATAAAAATCTCGTACAAATAATCCATTTTAAAATGTAGTAGGTTGAAATTTAATTACTTTCCTGCATTTCGACGCCGATGATACGTGTATAACTTGAGCAGCTCTGGTCAAGCTATATAATCAAGTATTTATAAATTATTTTCAGTAGCCTGCAGTAGAATACGCTGCTTGATTCCGACCTGGGTGCATACGAGTAGTTCCTGTGATAAAAGTTTAGAAGCCAACGTCAGGGTCAGTTGTGGAGTGAGATAGTGTTAGGGGTCGTATATTAGGGTTTGAGCGCGACTCAGTGAGTGTACATGACTCACCACACGTACATGACTCACCACACGTACATGACTCACTACATGCACATGACTCACTAAGCGTATGCCACTCGCCACTAATATTTTTGCTTACAACGTACCTAGCGTGCGCGATATGCGCGGCGTCAGTTAGCAGCGCCAGAGCGTCCTCTGATCGTCCTGCGCGAGGCAGCGCTGCTCCCACGCCCACCAGCAGCCTAAAGGCACAGAAACAAATGCCGTAGATTTTTATTATTCTCTATTATTATCTCCGTACAATGATATTGCCACTTGCCAGCAGGGTGCGTAATCCATTTTTTACAGTGACAAGCTTCACTTTTGTCGTCCACGATCAAAAAAGTAAGTTTCGAATTTTTTACTATTCGTGAAGGGGATACCTTTTAATTATTTTTGTATTTTCAAACGCTTATAATAAATAAGCATTGATTTGTAGTAGACACAGTCACTCGCTGCATATACCTAGTGTATACGGTTTCACGTTTCGATGAGCTTCACTATTTCTAAATAACTATAGATAATCGCGATTTTTTTATTCTAAATAGTTTTTGTAAAAAAACTTCCGTCGCTTTACAATGACTGTCCCAACGTTTTATGTACATGATGATGAATTACATAGCATAATAAAAAAAGGCACATATGTTCTCCAACTTGAATTGAATGGATTGACTTGTGCATATCATGCAAGCTCGGTATGACTCGGCCAAAGCAATCTTTACTAGTCGCAGATTTCAATTAGGTGGGCAAATATCGACCCAGTATTACAATAAGCCTAATGCTGCGTCTTCAACACACCGGGTTTCGAATAAGATGCTCAGGAGCTAAGAAACGCTTATAGTTGGTATAAATAATAAAATATTTTCAATTACGACAGTTAATTGGGTGAAACCTGATCTTGATTGCGTTCAACTGTCTGACGTATCCGCGAGAAGCAGATATTAGAAATCATTTTCATAGTTTGGCTTGTTTTGATTACAAACAAGCTTGCTTCTTATATTTTACCATGCAGTTATAGCAATTATCTACGTTGAATATATTTCAACTCACATTGATTTTAATCTTCATAAATTGAATCATGATTGTAGCAAAAATAACTGTGACGGAATTAGTGTACCAAATTTAGTCAGTATTTAATATAATATTCCATTTAGTGCTCCAAGAACACTTAATATTAACGTGCCCGAGTTTCACAGAAAACTTACCTGCAAAAAACTGCTGCAAGCTGTGGATCGCCCCCCACTCCTCCCCCCTCGCGCACCTCCCCCACCAGCATCTCCCCCTCCCTCAGAGCCCCCGCCCATTTACGTCCATCTGCATGTATAAAATATGAGTTTTAATTTAATAACAATCAAACACATGTTCAAAAATAATATTTAATGAAACTAAAAATAACATTTTTATGATGATGAAATATTCTATCAAAATTTTGCTGGTAGGCGAAGGGAGGTAGAGAATTATTCCTGGAAAGAAATGTAAAACGTACGTGATTATGGTTCTAGTTATTTAAAGAGATTTTTTATGGCTATGCATGATTTGATCCAACAAATAAAATCTACACTCACTAGGCGAGAATTCAATCTCCTTCCCATAATATCATTAGTTTCCAGTTTTGTCTGTAATAACATCGTAAAAACATGTAAAGCCTGTTTTATTTGCCTGGGAAAGAATATTTACCCATAGTACTAAATTCTCCAGACTAAAATAAGCAAAGTTTAACATAGCAAAGATCAGGATTTTCATTATATTTCCGAGTTAAATCATTAGTAATTGCATTCTCGGATGTTGCCAGCAAACGCACACTATAAATGCGTGCTGCGAAGCATCCTTTATTTACATGCGTAACTGTGATGAAAAATTAAATTGTTGTGTTATTGTCATTGATAATTCAAAATTGCTGTTTTAATAAAAATTCCCACTTCTTATTTTAATAAAAATTTCCATTTATAATTTTAATGAAAATGTCTACATATTATAATAATTACAATTTCCACTTATGTTTTAATAAAAATTTCCACTCATTATTTGAATAATAATTCTTCTTATTTTTGAATAATAAGTTTCACTTATTATTTTAATAATTATTTCTACTTATTTTTAAATTATAATTTTCACTTATTGCTTCAATAATAATATTCACTTATTTTTTAGTGATACTTTCAACTTATTTTTAAATAATAATTTTCACCTTTTTTTTAACTAATAATTTTCACATATTATTTTTAAAAAATTCCACTTATTATTTCAATAATAATTTCCACGAGGCCGAATAGTCTCCCCTCACCGAGGGTCTCGAGCTTCCTGAGTACCGCCGAGACCCTCTTGACGAGGGCCGCCCTCTGCCTCGCTTGCTCGGACCGCGGCCTACGCATCCCGCGGCCCCGTGACACCACGGACCTCTTCAGCCCCCGTGACTTGCCCACACCCACGCTCATCCCCTCACCCGTACGGGACACCCCCGCGGGGTTACGCTGCCATAAGAATGCCTCCAGGTACTGGGGGAATAAATACATATAGGATTTTTCCATTTATAGTGAATTTTCTCATTTATGGAAAAAAATATAACTCAGTACTCACAGCAGTGAGTGACAGAGAGCACATTTTCTCGTCGACAAAAATGTGAAGTCACGGACGGACAGACAGACAGACAGACAGACTGACGGACATGACGAGCACAATAGCGCTTTTTTCCATAAATGAGAAAATGCGCTAAAAGGCGCTATTGTACTCGTCATGTCCGTCCGTCCGTGACTATCCGAGAAAATGCGCTATCTGTCACTCACTGCTGTGAGTACTGATTTAATTTTTTTTTCATTAGGTGACATAGTTTTGACTCTCTGTCCCAAAATCTTGCAAATCACTATTTCGAAGCTTCATTGCCCAAATAACTGGAACTTGGGAAGTTTATTCAACTAATGAGAAGCGCACTTTATTGATATGATGTCAATAAATTTTTCCGTTATCATAGTTGCAGTCGTATTCCGCCTTCCTCTAAATTTATCTTATATTTCTGGAACACTACAGTTGAATGTACCGGGAAGTAAAGTGGAAATAATATGATCATTGGGATGCTGTAAGACTGAATTTTAATTCATTCTAATTTTCTGAGTAATTATTTTAGAATATATTCATTGTAATTTGAATCAATTAATAAATTTCGACCTGGAGGGAGTCGAGCGCCTGCTTAGCCTGGGCGGCGACGAGTGCGCCAGAGCTGCCCAGGGAGGCACGGCGCGCAGCTGCCTCTTCATCAGAGTCGCGGTCACCGCGACGACTTCTGCTGTCATCCTTCCTGCCTGCGACCACTTCAGATCAGCAGTGATACGTTACATAATCATTTATTCTTCATAATAATCTATGTTTCATAATAGTATAATGTGCTTCAATAATAGTGTAACATTCTGCTCTCATCCTTCCTGCCTGCAACCACTTCAGTTCAGCAGTAATACGTTACATAATAATATAGTGTGCTTCAACAATAGTATAGTATAGTATAGTATAGTATAGTATAGTATAGTATAGTATAGTATAGTATAGTATAGTATAGTATAGTATAGTATAGTATAGTATAGTATAGTATAGTATAGTATAGCATAGTATAGTATAGTATAGTATAGTATAGTATAGTATAGTATAGTATAGTATAGTATAGTATATTATAGTATAGTAAAGTACAGTGTATAGTGTGCTTTAGTGTGCATTTTAATAAGAAAGTGTGTTTCATATTAGAAAGAGGTGCTTCATAATAACAAAATACACATCACAACAATATAACACATCACATGATTCATTATAACAACAAATGAATCACTTCCTGGTGACAAATATTTTTTATTATCGCCTATGTTCACTGTTTGCTATTATGAAGGAAATCATTTGATATATGAAGAGGTTTTCAACTTTGCGTTCCAGTAGCTTCATTCATTATCAATCGGCAAAGATATAAATTACTTAGGAATCTAAAACTAATATTTATCTCTAAACTATGTGTCTATGCTGGTTAAATATAAATTTTTGTGTAAATTCAGCAGAAGCAAGGAATTAAAGAATCGTTTGCCGGCTGTCAGTTTCCGTAAAGCCTCGACTTTTGCGCAAAAAGGGCAGAACTTAATTACGAGCTCAAGAGGAAGTCAATTTGGTTACTTGCAGCGTAAATAAAATTAAATTTACAATATAGTCAGCGATTTAAAAAACAAAACAGGAATCTTTTTTTTTATTTTATTTTTAATTCTTTATTTTACTTTAATTATTTTAATTTTTATTGAATAAATTTAATTTTGCTCAGCTTGGTAGTTGCAAGTCATCCAGCCATTCATGAGAAACATATATGAATAATTAATGCCGGTTTACAGTTCGATAATTCACAATTACTTGCTTTTCAACGTGTGCCACACGTTCAGCTCGATCGACTTTTACGAAAACGAAAAACATTTTTTCGATCGACATTTTTACGTTAGCACTATCATCAGATAGTGCTAACTTCAAGCGTCACACTGTATATCCTTTTAATTTATTTTCAAATATAATCAATATTTTCAAACCGTATATTAATAAAATTTATTTTATATATTCAATATTTTCAAAATGTTTATTAATAAAATTCATTTTCAATTATAATCGATATTTTCAAACTGTTTATTAATAAAATTTATTTTCAATTATAATCAATTTTTTCAAACTGTATATCAATAGAATTTATTTTCAATCATAATCAATATTTTCAAACTGTATATTAATAAAATTTATTTTCAATTATAATAAACATTTTCGAACTGTATATTAATAAAATTTATTTTCAATTATAATCAATATTTTCAAACTGTATTTTAACCAAATTTATTTTCAATTATCATCAATATTTTTATCTTCTGCTATGCGATGCTCACGGCTGTGATTGCGAGATTTATTTGTCTCTTCAGGCACGGTAGCGACGACGCTTCTGGTGAGGCCGCGCCTGTTCAGCAGCGAAGCAAGGAACTCCTTGTCGCAGCTCAACCCTCCCAGCAACCGCTGTCGGAAATAACAAGATTAGTTAACAATGACAGTATTTTTTCCATCCACGAATCTTTCGTAATTTCTTCATATAAAATAATTATTCTCATAATAATTAATAATTATTTATTAATAATGATTAATTATTTAACAATAATGAATAAATATTTAAAATAATTAATAAATATATAATAATAATTATATAATTATATTATCATAATTTTACGAACTTAATTTTTGCTATACATCATGCACGATTTCTCTCATGGTTCCTGTGTTATGAGGTTTGAATGGCAAAATTATTTATGGACATGATAAACACGTTTGTAAATAGGTTAAAAGCAGTTCAAAATCCTGTTGCATGTGTTTATTACTATACTTCTTACTCCTTCACGTGTTATATATTCAAGAAATTATTGTACCTGACTAGCATATATTTTCCGTATGTTACAAGGCACGATGTTGTTTTGCTACCGGTAGCGTATATTGTCAGAAAACATTTATGTTGCAAGAAGGGCATATGGTCGCTCGAAATAACAATTTGGTTGTAATTTAAGTTATTAAATACTGATGCAACCGGATGTTATACGGGTCCTGAAATGCTTCTCTTCCTTTGCAAACAGAAAAATTTTTGTTCTGTTTAATTTAGATTTATATGGGCAGGGTGGCCCAGTGGTTAAAGTTCAGAGTACCAAGATTGGAGCAGAGAGGCGCGGGTTCGATCCCAGCTCTGTGCGCCAGTTTCTGGTCAGAATCGGCAAGGAGGCCGGGCGGTTAAGCACAGCAGAATTGTAGCCGTGAGTTGCGAGTTCGAGACCGCAAAATGCTGTGAATGTTCTGCGATATTCAGAATCGGCGACAGGCCTACGGCCTAATAAACGCTGAAACCGCTATTATTTATTATTATTATTATTATTAGATTTCATTCAAACAATTTTACAGAAAATATATTTTTACATTAATTTTATATATTACAGAAAATGAATATTCACTTCATTTTTCATTCACTTCCATTTCAGTGTTACTTTTACTTTAAATTTTGCCTCAAAATTAATGACCATTATTAAGGCATGTATTGTTAATTTCTTTGCACTGAAGTTTTACTCCACAAAGTAAGTTTCGACCTTCAATGCTCAATAAACGATTTATACGTGAACAATAAATGAACGATTTATACGTGAACAATACATGTACGATTTATACGCGAACAATACATGAACGATTTATACGTGTCCAAATTGCACGATTTATGTAAGACAAAAAAGAATTACAATGTTATCGGTTTATGTACTAGGCAGCATCATAGACGAGTGAGTCGAGAATTTAGTATACATGGAAACTGGCGTCCCTCGTTTTGAATTAGAAACAATACTTTGGAGCCATAAAATTGGGCACTGCCTAATGCAGTTCCCGCGTTGCAACCACAACTTATGTCTGCAAAACTTACGATTTCCTCAAAACTTTTCACAAACTCCACTATAAATGCATTACTCGCTTCATCAGTACACAGATTAGCCAAGACTACTCAGAATATTTAAATTCTTGAACATCACTCAACTCTTTATGGTTCAAATTAGGAAATTCGTTGCTAAAAATTTAACAGGATGCTTGTTGAACATTTTTAATGATTGGAATGATTAGAAACATAAAAAGATTTTATTGTTCGTTAAAAACGTGAAATGAAAATGACCTCTAAGGTGGAATGGAACCTCAACAAACGTAGAGACATATATGTATAAGATGGAATAATGATATTCAATGATATTTGAGTGGTACTTTGTAAACACTGTACAAAGCATCTATGGAAATGACGTTAAGATGTCCATTATGATGCAAGTACATGTTTACGGCCAAACAGCCATCAAAGTGCTAATAGAGATTTCAAAATAAAGCAGGCTTGCAACGCTGTGGAAAAATTAGAGCCATATTGTTGCTCACTCAAATGGCAATGATAGAACTTGTCAGTAACTTTCAAAAATTAATATGTTCGAACCAAGATATGTTCATGTTCAAACCCAACGCTTCATAATAATGCAATTTTACTAATATATGTTCTCATTCCCATTCCAAATAAGGAAACCCAATTACGGTAATGTGTAAATTCAACGCGGAACGTACAGAATTCACTTCCGCATTACAAAATTTAGAACTCAATAGACTGAACATGTTAGACTGTTGGAACTGAAATAGAATAGACTATTAGAACTGAAATTTTTTGAACATGTTAACATGTTCAGTCTATTGAGTTCTAAATTTTGTAATGCGGAAGTGAATTCTGTACGTTCCTTGTTGAATTTACACATTACCGTTCAAGAACCTAAAGTATCGTGCAAGCTAGAATTTTAAAATCACTATCAGATAAAGAGGTGTTGCACTGTTCGGCATGAACACATACAGCAGAATGAGGTGGATGTGCAAGTAGGTTCCCCGTTCATGGTGTTATGAACTGAAGCTGAACTGAACTTTGTGTTATGAACTGACAATGCATGGAGCTGGACTCCAAAACGTTTTCTTTTATAAAGATATGGTGAATTTTTGTGATTTTGTCTTCGCTTTTAAATTCCTGGGCCTATACTTTCAAAAAAAGTTAAGAGATTGCAAGTTCATCAGCCATACATTGACGGCCTTTCAAGCAAAATCCACCAATCATAGACAAGAAAGTAGAGCGTATAAGTAATTACGTTCACTTAGCGAGTTTTGAAAATATGGCCACTGGTTAACTAGCGATTTACGTAAACAAATGATTTTAATACTTATATCCAATCTCAACAAAATTCGTATTGACTTGGTTGCGAAAAAAATTCTGATTCGTTTTGCTTGAATTGAAGGAAATCATGAATTTTTTCTGGGATATCACAATTTCGGCAAGTTTTGGCAATAAAAACAATAATAATTTTTCAGTCGTTGTATCGCTCATGCTCGGATTACATTGAGTAAAAAATCGTTCTTGATTTCTCTTGTGCAGCATTAGGCGAGGTTTAGTTTAGCTTCTACGCTTCATTACAGGGAAGAAAAGTGTGGCAGTCATAAGCATGACTTTCATAACGAACATTTGAGGGCGTAACTGGCTCGTTTGCTGTAACGACGTGAAACATTAAAGGCTTCTTTTAGTGAGGGTTCCTCAGCGTGTGCCATTACACTGAATCTCCCATGATAATGAAGTCATCAACCTGGGTATAAATTAACTCGTCCTTTCCGCAGAACGGCGTCGGAAAGTGAGATGCAAAATTTCGTCTCAGACGCGCAGATTCTGAGACGGAAAGTCGCATAAGATCAGGTTTTGCCCTGAACACAATTGGAAAAACAAATTGTTGTCTGTTGGATATTCCGCTGAGGAAAAAAGAGATTAGCATATGAACTGGTGCATCGCTGGGAAGATATGTTGAAAACTTCCAAATAATGTTCACAGCGATACGCTAGGTCATATGCGAATCTATTTTTCCTCACTGGAAAATCCAACAGAAAACAAATATCTGTGGACTGGTAAATTTATTTAATGAATAATCTAAAAACAATCTTTTAATTTTTTAGGTAGTAATCAAGAGGAGATAGCTGCGGATTTTTTTACTAGCTTTTTATCCAGCTATGAACAAATTTATTAAGTTTTCGTACGAGATGAAACTCCACGTTCAAATATACTGTATTAGAAATGGTATTCGACGATCTTGATTTGCATAATATCACATTTTTTCCTAAAAGATGACATTCAAATTTTAAACTGATGTACCATATGCTTATCTGCCTTATCATCAGAGTTTTGAAGCATGGATACGCATTCAAATATCCATCTTTTCAGACGGAAGCGATTTATAAATTAAAATGTTGTATTCCATCATCGAAACGAGTTTTATAATTTTGTCGAATTTCAACGAATAAACAGTCCGTAGAGTATACTTCAATAACTCAAATTAATGTCGAACACCGTCAAACATATTTGAGTTGCAATTCTCCACTCCACAATCCCCATTCTCATCGCGCTCTTGACAAACTAGTATATTATTTTATTTCTATGTGTCCTCATCACTCCACAATGGGGCAGCAAAAAATTTAAATTACAAATCATTATGAAGAGTCATAAGCAGAAAACGAGCGTCATTTTATAAGTCCGAAAAATAAAACTCGGTTGATAAAATGTGGGTACATGTACATCATTTGGTTCACAGTAATTTTGAAGAGTGAATCATATAGATGACGTAATCATTGAGAATACCGATTAAAGGTGTTTGTTTTTCTGTCAATATCTGGTAACTTTTAACTATGACTGGTTTCTGTTAAAAAATGTAATAAGAATTCAAGACATGAAGATGTGCATTTGAAATTTAGGTTTGATAATGGAGCACTTTCGCAAAAAAAATGTATTTGGAAGAATTTTGGAAAATAAGATTGAAGCTGGTCGACATTTAACATGTGAGTGAAGAATGTTGAAATTCAAATGACCAGCCAACTCACACAGATAAAAAGAACAGCTATGACATTTCCATGACAGAGCGCATAAATTTTCTTGTCAATTAGATAGCCATTCCGAATTAGAGAAGCAATAACACTCGTCACAAAATTGAAAACACGCCAAAATGTAAAAACTTGTCGAACTCAATGAAGCGCGTCGGAGAAGCGAACGTTTCCCCCCTCCCCCCCCCCCCCAAGGGCCCTGCTGTCATATTGTAATTACCATCGCTTATGAAGCAATGGCTTCACAATTGCCATTGAGGTACGTTCCCTGACAGAACTCGGCTAGCGCGCTGCTATTGAAAGGCATTAATTAGCGAGGAAGTTGATTAGCTCGCCTTTACCGCTGTCGTCGCATGAATGAATGATGAGCATTCACTAGCTCAGAGACCACTGGCCTCGACCCACTAGTATATATTATCCAGATTTTATGATCACAGCGCCGTGACCTCGTCTCATACATCATGGAAACCATATAGTGTTTCATAATTAATGTTGACTGAGACAACCGCTGCCGAAAGAATCGCGCTCTGCTGACAACGCGTTCACAATTCCAATGTCTGATTCTCTTCTTGGATGTGCACACATAATTTGAATGAAATTCAATAATTGCTGATGTTTCATGCACCAGCACGCAAAATTGTTTGCAGAATATGCAGTTAATTTTTTATAATTTGGGCTACGGGATTTCCTATTTTTATTGAGACATTTTTACACTTAATTGTTTTTCCCGATTATTGTGAACGTGATCAATTTAAGCTTTGAAAGTCCCAGCGCCAGGCGCTGCAGAGCCGAACGATTATGACGAATCGGTAACACGAATTGCATTTATTCGTGAATAATTTGTTCTGAATTTATGTATATTTATAACATTTTCATCATTTGAGTTATGTTTGCTTTGCCTGCCGTAAAAATAATATTTTTTTAATATGTGATCAAAATATTTAAATAAATATAACCTTTGGGATTTCACTACAAATGGCGGTCTTGTCTGCTATCAAAATAATAATTCATGCGGTAAAAAACAACAGTTCGGCTAGCTTTTTTTTACTTATATTTTAGATTTAAAAAATCAGAGAAACAGCGAGCTGTACACGGATAATCGTAGTAATTTGAATGATGAATATGTTCGAAATCATGGACAACGCATATTTACCTATGAATATATGCTGCTAGATACGTAATGAAAGATTTACAGATGCACAAGATTCAATGCCAATTACTGACAAATATCAGTGTTGAAGGCCGAGTTGAGGAGGGTCAAAAAGTTAGATTTTAACTCTTGCCAAGCGATTGTTGCTTCAGTATGGTGAGGCCGTAACATTTGATGATGGTTGCAAATTCACTTTGAACTGATTTTGAAATATGTTTGTGTTATTGTCGTATTATGACCTGATTAAATGAATCAATAACTTTCGCAGTTTGAGTTTTATATTTTTCATTTTGATTTTCAGAAACAGTTTTCGATATGGCATTAATAGAGAAGATAATTATGTAGTAAATTGTCAATGGGGGAAATTTTAATTCATGACTGAAGAAAAATAAGGATTATAGATGACCAAAATTTACAGCCACTGTAGACGTCGTTTTTGAAACATTCCAGGATTAATACGGAATGCTCAAAAAAGCTGCATTAACATTGAGTTGAAAAATAAAAAGTATCTGAAAATATTTTTGTGGACTTCAGTGATCAGTCGAAATTTATCGTCATGTCTTGCAGGTTAGTGTTCCGCAAACAACTTTGTTCCGCCTTCCCCAGTCAAATTTAGAGTGATAAAACTTACTAAATTTCGACTTTTAATAAATTCAGAGTTTCCAATTTTGATCGCAAGTAAGTAATAAGAATGTTCAATAATTTTCAATAAATAACTAATGCTTTCAACGCACCTTAATAATAAACTTAGAGTTTCCAATTTTAATCGCAAAGAAGTAATTAGAATATTCGATAATTTTCAATAAATAACTAATGCTTTCAACGAACCTTAGTAATAAATTTAGAATTTCCAATTTTAATCGCAAGGAAGTAATAAGAATGTTCAATAATTTTCAATAAATTACTAATGCTTTCAACCCACCTTAGTAATAAATTTAGAATTTCCAATTTAATCGCAAGGAAGTAAAGTAATAAGAATGTTCAATAATTTTAAAGAAATAACTACAATTGCAACGCACCTTAGAAGCCAGTTTACTCGTCTGGACCTCAGGAATGAGGAGACGTGGTTTGTTCGAGTCGTTCCCTCGCGAGCTCCTGGACCCAAACCCTCGGCTGGAATTAGAATAGCGGCTCTCGGAAGCGATTCCCTTGCGATTTCTGCTCTCGGACACGAACGGTTCTGCAAATTTTAATTAAAATTTTAGAGAAATTCCGTGAAAAAGTAGCATGGGTGGAAGGATTATGTAAGATGGGCCAAAATTAACATTTTGATTCAGGAATTAAATTAAAAATAATTTCAAACAAAAATCAACGGACTTCTGTTCGAAAGAAATTTATCAAAAGAAATTCATTAAACTAATTTAGAATCATGAATTGCTATTAGAACGTCAGTCCGTAACCCACCCGAGCCCGCAGGCGTCGCAGTGAAGACAACCGCTTGCCGTTGCTGATCAACCACCCCTTGTTCTTGCTCTTCCTCTACCGCTTCTGGAAATACTCGGCCTGTAGCGAAAATTAAATTAAAACGTATACTAAAATTGCAAATATATGTAGTTACTCGTTATGAACTCTTCAGAAGAGAGGAAAAATACATGTATATTGCAGTTCAGTTAAGTATTATTTTGATTTGATAAATATTGGTCAACACGAATTCTAAGATTAGATAATTGAAGCAAAATTGAATTTTATTCACCTGAATGAGACTTTGAGACTGTAGACTTTCCAGGCCTAATGAACTATCATTTTATAAAGATGCTTATACACGGTGCTTGTATTAGCTGCAAGTATTCGCTGCGAGTTTTCACACCCATAGTTTTGGCGGCTGAAAGCCTATACACGAGAATAGATTTGGTAAACAGCCCGCTGGTGCTTTTGAAGAAGCAGTTGGTGGCATATTTGCCTCTCTTGCATGAAGAGGTGAAAAAATTTTTAAATCAGCGTAGAGAGTGGGTGAGAGACTGATTAGGTCCCGATCAAGTTTGAAAACACTACTTCCTCAATTAGCTTCTGTTGAAATATTTATCGTGACGTACATTTCACAAGCGATCAAACTTTTGGAACAACTAAAAGAGCAGTTCAATATCATTTGAAGACCTATGGACGTTCATATAAACGTCGTCGTTGGGACAAGACATAGTTCATTACAATAGAAACACTTGTCCCAAGTAGAAAACAGAGCGACACAAATGTGCACACTACGGCTTCCGCAGCCTTATTACCAATAATAAACCGCAAATTTACACTGAAACTGTTTCAGACGCAAACGCATCAGCTACTTGCATCTGAAGAATAAATCATCACAATATTTGGAGTGCGAATACTCGCATCTAATACTGGCCCCGTGGATAAGCAAGCACTTTAAGCTTGAAAATCACATCACAAACCTCGGTCAAGTTCGTTATCTTGAGATGATGAGTTAGTTTGTAGGAAAGATTCTTCAACCGCTGAAACATTTACTTATTTGCTTAAAAAACACCAACGATGATCATCAAGTTTTATTGCGTCGGTACTACTTGAAGATATTTCCACCGATGAACTAACAAAAATATCGAAATTATCTTTTTAGTAATTCACGTAACTGAAGGCAATCGTCTGATCATAGCTCGTCCTAGTAATGAACAAGAAATTATAACATGATATATGTACTTATCACAGGATAAATAGGCTAGCAAATTATAGAATGTGCTGAGGTTATCTAGGTTCTCCAGCCGCACTAAATACTTCCTCAGGGGCCCCAACAAGGCTTCGAAGGAGGTTGTTTTGGTTCTGCTCTGCTCTTTTGTATTCACACTCTCCAAAATGAGATAACAGGGATAAATTGTACAGGTAACCAGACAGCGCACCGCTGGCAGTGAAACACAGTGTAACACAGAACGTATACTGGCAAGCGTGAACGAGGTTCAGCAGTCTGTATATGACGAGTATAAAAGGCATACTGACAACGATGTCAGATACATCGCATATCAGCTATTGTTCGCTCTATTATGGTTCCATAGAAAGTTGTGCACCTTAACTCTACACATAAATCATCATAAAATAACAAATAAATGAACATTGGTCCGGCACGAATATTATTTTGAATAACACGACATTCTAAGTAGGCCTTATAAAATGCTGTATGAAATAATCTTAAATACATTGCGAGGACTATTAACGTACAGAATTCAGTTTGCCCTTCAAAATGAAACTCCAGGTATAAATTTGTATTTTTTAATGTACGCGAAACCTCTGAATAATCGGGCAATAACGGACAACGATTAGTTTGCGCACCTCAAACCTGCGCGTTTCCTTAGTTTCTTGTTATATGTTTGGGACGTAGCAGTCCCAGGCAACGATAGATCGCTCATCCGCCCATCCGCTGATTATCGCTCATCCGCCCTCATTTGGGCCACCTGATGCACGATGGCAAGATAACAAACCTCTTGTTGTTCACTGCACAACCTACGTTATTTCTACGGGAAACTCACGCACCTCCAATGACGTTGAGGATGGCCTCGCGACACTGGTGGCCGCCCCTGCAGAACTGCAGCATGTCAGGTCGAGCGCGGGCACCGCGCTCGTACAGCACCAGCGCGCGCTCGAACTCCGCCATGCCGTACAGCGCCTCGGCCTGCACCAGGACGGCTGACGCGGGTACAAAACATTCATCTGCCTGAGATCTCCGAACGGATGATTATTTAAACAATTTAGTTTTTAAAAGTCAGTAGGAATATTAGCTGTTCGGAAATCATTTTTCGTGTTAAGCATAAAATTAAAACAGTTTAATTCTCTCTAAAACAAGAACAATTTTCTTTAAAAAGTATGAAAAATTAAAGTCATATTATTGCAGAACCTTTGACCATGGTAGGATCAGCTTGCAGCGCCTCCTGAGCGTCCTGCATGGCCTCTTGAAGCCGCCCCAGCAGCAGGTAGCAGCGGCCGCGCGTCGTGAGCGCCCCTGGGTCACGACCTCCGCACGCCACTGCCTGCGAATGCCGACACAGTCAAAATAAATATAACTCAGTACTCCCTGCAGTGAGTGACAGAGAGCGCATTTTCTCGTCGACGAAAACTTGAGGTCACGGACGGACGGACAGACGGACAAACGGACAGACAGACGGACGGACGGACATAGCGAGCACAATAGTGCATTTTTTCCATAAATGAGAAAAATGCGCTAATAATTGCGATCTTGAACGAGAGCTTACAAAATTTTGTATTATCCTTCTGGATGAAGGTATTATTCTCGTGTCACAGCATACTCTTTCCACGTTTTTAGCGCATTTTCTCATTTATGGAAAAATGCTCTATTGTGCTCGTCATGTCCGTCTGTCTGTCTGTCCGTGACTTCACGTTTTCGTCGACGAGAAAATGCACTCTCTGTCACTCACTGCAGTGAGTACTGAGTTATATTTTTTATATCATTCTATCGCGGGATCATATTTTTGTAGTGTCGCAGCTTATTGCGGCACTTCAGCGTGGGCGTTGTCTCGTATTATTTTAGCCTATTCTCCTTGTGTCAGAAAGTATTCACTTGGTGTTATAACGTATCCTTCGAGTGCTGGAGCTTGTTATATTACTCACCCAAGTGTTTGAACGTATTTTTCTTGAGTAGTCGCGTGTTTTTCAGTGTCGGAGCGTATTCATCTAGTTGTGGAACGTATTTATTTGAAGTTGGAGTAACTTTCTCCCGCGCTAGAGCGAGTTCATTCAGTGACAAAGCGAATTCATGTAGTTTAAGAGTGGGTTATGCTGGTGTATGAGCGCATTCATTCATTTTTAGTGAATGTTTCAGGTGTCAGATTGTATCCTTCCAGTGTCAGGGCGTATTTCTCATGTGCCAGAGCGTATTTTACACGGCCAGAGCGTATTCTTCTAGCGTTAGAATAGATTATTCTCTTATCGGAAGTTAAATATCGAACAATGAAACGTATTCTAATGATAGAGTTTTTATAAATAGGTATTAAAATTATACAAAACAGCTTTCCGAAATAATGAAAAAAATATCTACATGCATATTTCAAACACAAATTTTAAATTACGAAGAGATTTTCTTTCTTGCACGATGACCATGTAATTCACTTAATTGCAGAAAAAACGCATAATGACATCTCTACCGATTAACTTACAAGACTTTTCTCGAGAGATTGGTTCGACTCGTGCGAAATTATCTGTGGATTTTCAATTGTGGAGCAACCCGTAGAGTTTAGTAAAGTTTCATCAGACTTGCATATGTTTATACTCGATAATTTGATATATGAATGCATTATTTATGTCAACATTACTATTTTCATAAATCCTCCAAAATCAGGTGATCAGAATTGTTTGCTAGCTGCAACAGTAACACAGACAAAATAAACACAAATTCGCGGAACGTGGAAATTTTGTCTCTCAGCAAGCGGAAATGAATTCAGAAATTTCAATATTGTTAGGGAATTGTACTAATTTATATAAATCGGTGAAACTCTGAACTATCTGAACTAAACCCTTGACATAACAGCACCTAATTCGAGTGACAGAAACAGAACATCGCCACAGCAAAATGACATAGAATAATCAACTGACTTTCTGAGCACACTTGAGAGCGGTCTACTGACTTTCTGAGCACACTTGAGCGCAGTCTCGACGTGGCCCGTGGTGATATTCTTGTGCGCCTCTGTCAGGTAAACGGTCCAGTCGAGGTCCTCCGGTAGGGCAGCTCGCCTCTCACCTCGCCTCTTCACCTGAAAATTTTACAGCGCATACAGGATGCTGACTGAGTATCAGGAATAAAGTAGGAATTAGTGTAGGAATAACAGGGACCGCAATGAAATAAGGACCTCAATGAAACAGGGACCACAATGAAATAGGGACCTAAATTAAATAGGGATAACAATGAAATAGGGACCTCAATGAAATAGGGACCACAATGAAATAGGCGCCACAATGAAATAGGGACCACAATGAAATAGGCACCACAATGAAATAGGCACCACAATGAAATAGGGATCACAATGAAATAGGGACCACAATGAAATAGGGATCTCAATGAGATAGGGACCACAATAAAATAAGGACCACAATGAAATAGGGACCTAAATGAAATAGTGATCACAATGAAATAGGGACCTCAATGAAATAGGGACCACAATGAAATAGGGACCACAATAAAATAGGGACTTCAATGAAATAGGGACCACAATAAAATAGGGACCTCAATGAAATAGGGACCACAATGAAATAGGGAGCACAATGAAATAGGGAGCACAATGAAATAGGGACTTAAATGAAATAGGGACCACAATGAAATAGGGACCACAATGAAATAGGGACCACAATGAAATAGGGCCTACAATGAAATAGGGACCTCAATGAAATTGGGACCACTCTGAAATATGGACCTCAATGAAATAGGGACCACTATGAAATATGGAGCTCAGCGAAATATGACCCGAATGAAATTTAGGAAACACAGGGACACCACTAACAAGATAAGATTGTGGTGAAGTTTAATTAATTTACTGGTTACAGTGGAATAAATAGTAAATTGAGTGCTCGAAAAAATATGGAGGCACATGCTGGGAAACTGTAATTGCACAACTGTTGAACATTTCAAACCTGAATAATTTGTACAAAACTTAGGAGATACTTAGATGCAAGCAATCCTTTGAGTCAGGAAAATATTCCCTATATTGCTATCTCACGAAAATTAGTTATTTCTAATTTGCTTAATATCAAATGATGAAGCATTTGAGTTATTGTTGACTCTGACATTTGAAAATGTGTGATTTAAACATAATCTATAAATTCATAAGCATAACGTACACGACGGGATTAAGCTAAAATTATTTTGTTCCATCACCAACGCAAATCTGTAAGTGATCCGTATCCAGTTCCATGCTACGAATACGCGCTTAGTTCTTGGTCAAGAACCACGCAGTCTTTGACGACCTTTTCAAGCGCGTCAGACAAAAACCAACACCGGTCCCCAAGACTCGTTCTCAATTTGTCCTAACTTTCTGGGCCGGTCATTTAAGTTTTTCCTGCTCTAAAGGCCCGTTTAGGAGAAACTTTAGCGTTATCTGCTGGGAGGTGTCTTGTGCACCTGGTTTTCGAGAAGAGGTTTCGTTAACCCCTGAAGGCTGAAGGCAAGTCGACCGGTAGACACGAGGGCTCTCAATCTTTTCACCCACGACAAGACGCTAATGGAACAAAAATCTGGGATTTTAGCGAGGAACGCCAGTTACCGTCTGAACTACCACTGGGGTGACATCGTTTACACGAGTTTTTGCGATTTAAATTTTACTAATTATTACTTATTTATTTGTACAGGGTGCGGCGCGGGAACTTACTTATTTGAATTGCGCGCCACGTGGCGGCCATTAGTCCTAGGAAGGTGGCGCCATGCGCAATATGGTGCGCGGGCTATGAAGTTTTTCGTCCATTCAGTTCAGTTGCGACCATGCAGTGGTCGAGAGAGGAGCGCGCGTTCGCAGTCTCTGTGTACTTTTCTAGTGGCCGGTCTATCGTTGCAACCCAGCGTGCGTTTAGGAGGCAGTTTAATGTCGCGCCCACTGGTCGTGTTCCTGGTCGTACATCAATCGTTCAGTGGGTGAATACTTTTATGAATACAGGCAGTGTGTGGAAACAAAAACCAGGTCCTTCCAAAACCACTAGGACGCCAGAAAATGTCGAGAGAGTAAGGCAGGCGGTTTTGCAATCACCTAAGCGATCCGCACGAAAACATGCATCTGCGCTTAGAATTTCCGATCGCACAGTTAGGCGAATTCTGCACCAAGACTTAAAATTCCACCCTTACAAACTGGCAGTGGTGCAAAAACTAAATCCACGTGATTTTGTTTCACGACAAAGGGCATGTGAAGCCATCGTTGAAAACTTGCCTAACAACGCACTTGTGTTTTTTAGTGATGAAGCACATTTTCATCTGTCAGGGTGTGTGAATAAGCAAAACATGCGATATTGGAGTGGTGTGAACCCCCGAGAACTTCATGAGAAGCCCCTTCATGCAGAACGAGTGACTGTTTGGTGTGCCTTATCCAGGACTGGCATCATAGGCCCATGGTTTTTTGAAGAGAACGATAGGGCAGTTACAGTCACTTCTGAACGGTACATTCAGATGATTCAAGAGTTTTTCCTTCCAAAACTTGATGAACTTGGTGTAAGAAATGTGTGGTTTCAACAAGATGGGGCCACGGCTCACACAGCACGCGCTTCAATGGCTCTCTTGCGCGAACACTTTCCATAACGCGTGATCTCCTTAAGGGGCGATCTCCAGTGGCCAGCGCGCTCGCCGGACTTAGCCCCCTGCGATTATTTTTTGTGGGGATACTTGAAATCCTTAGTGTACACCAATCGTCCGAGGACCCTAGCTGAACTGAAGAACAACATTCGCGTTGCTATTGCTGACATTGGTCCAGACATGCTTGAGAAGGTGGAGCGAAACTTCCGATCTCGTCTGACAAAATGTATTGAACAGCATGGAGGTCACCTACAAGATGTAATATTCAAGAATTAAACTTGTAAGTAAACCCAACGAAACTTTAAATGTAGCTCTTTGTAAAAAAGAAAGAATTAAAACGCTATCTTTAATACTTTTTACTTTGTGATTTTTTTAAAAGAGTAAGTTCCCACGCCGCACCCTGTATTATATAATCATTATTTTGAGCCTTGAGATATTTTGCAATATTATGGAATCTTCATCAAAAGTTGATTCATTAAAAAATTAAGTTAAATTATTTCCAGCCTAATACTTTGACCTCACAGACGTACTGGGACGTCAGAATAATTTTCAGTGTGGCCTGATTGCGGGACTCAACCGTTGAAATTCACTGTATAATTCGTATAGTAACTTAACGACGAAGCCATCCATAGAGTAAGATTACAACCTTAAAAAATATTATCTTCTGTTTGATGACACAGAAATGGCCGTTAGCTGGCCGCCTATTATATATCCTCGATTTTCACTATGGTATTGCCTCATACTGCGATATAAAATGCGTTATGAGACCTTAGGGAAATTCACAGATCTTGCGTCATCCTGAGCGTGGAGCTTAACTTCTGTCCGATGGCTACAGCAAGATGTACAGCACAGCAAGATGTACAGCACAGCAAGATGTACAGCACAGCAACGTTCTGAAAATTTCTATCGTGGTTTATATGGTTATTAACATCAAATTAATGTTTTCTTAGGATTTATATTAGCGGGGAGTTATCATTTTGCATGTTTAATTTTTCTTGCTAAGCCCGTATGTAAATTTTTTGCATTCGCTCGTTTGTGTAGACAGTGACTCGGATGCAGTTTCCACGCTGGCATAATTCTATGTCAAAAAGACACGAATCACGTATTTTAAAAAAATAATACAAAAATAACATGTGATTTCAATTTTCTTCACGACACCTATTTGCCACTACCTTATTTTTCAATTTATTTTCCTTCCTGAAAAATTCATTCGCCACCATAGCGTCTATTTTGGTGTACTATTCATCACCCATGAAATTGTATATTTTGCATAATTTATTTAACCTGGTTAAAATTTAATCATTTCTTAAAAGAATTGAAATATTTGATCGCAACCTCACCAATGCAATGCAATTAAATGCATCGTAGTTAAATTAAAGCCTAAAATTTTCAGTTTCCTATAAATTTCAGCAAGAAAATTGCTAAGCCTTCTTTGTTCAGGCGTCGCACACCAAAGGTATTGCGCACATTGAACATTGCGCCTAATATGTACACGCCATGCCTAACATGTACACGCTGTGCCTAACATGTACACGCCGTGCCTAACATGTACACGCCGTGCCTAACATGTACACGCCGTGCCTAACATGTACATGCCGTGCCTAACATGTACACGCCGTGCCTAACATGTATACCATCTAAACAATGTGCCACCAACACATTGCGCCGCGCACGAAAGCGTTGTGCGTTACACGTATATCATTTCACTAACGCGTCACATTACACCTGTCGTAACTCACACGATCTGTGCCATAGAAGTGCTGCAGCTTACAAACGTTAACTCATAAACCCGCACTTATACACGGCACTTCACAACCATCCTGCGCTCACGCATTGCGCCTCAAAACCATCGTGCCCGGCATGCCTTCATGCGTTGCGCATCAAACCCTGAAGCGCCGTGGCTCAAAAGGCTCCGTTGCTCAAAAAACCCTCGCCCCCAGGCGCCTAAGACCGGGGTGGGGGAGGGGTTAGCTTCATCACATAACGCCGTATGAGTTTGCCGCTCAAATGCCTTCCTCATAAACAAGCCAGGGCCGCATTTCCCGTTTAATTTTGTCGTCCCCTCAAATCCTAATTAGGCGGTGATGGCATCAAACGATTGGCGAGGAGACTCGGGACAGGTGGGGGGTAGCGGTGATGGGATGTGTGGTGACATCGAGTTATTGGGGATGCCTGTGATGATGATTTTTGCGTTTTCATGGGTTGTTTAATGCGTGCACAAATGTTTTATAGGTGTTGAGTGGATTAAGAATCTTTCGCAGAGAGCTACAGAGATTGCAATGTACCATTTACAAAGAATTGTATCTGTAAACTTAACGGAGATGTCCCGAAATACAGACTATCAGGACTAAATGTAGATCGAAAACTGAAGCACAATTTTGGCAAATTCATACATTCGGCAGTCGACGGGCATCAATATGCCTAATAGAGTTGACGATGTCGAATTAAGGGAACGGATCAATTACAATTATGAGGCATCTCTCATAAATATATTTGTTTCCAATGCTGCAGCTTTCCAAGTTCAGTGAGAACTCATGTTTATTATATTACAATGCATTTAGAAATGCTGTGAAATACATTTACAGTATAATTCCATAGTTATTGGTAAAGCAAAGACTTCACTTAACCAGCAACATTGACGCCTCTGTGAGTTTATTTGCGACCTTAAATGCTCAATAATTTTACGGAAATTCAGGCTAGATTTCCGAAAGATGAGTTTAGCGTACAACGTGTTAGAAGTAGAAATTTGAATGTTTTTTTTAGTTTTATTATTCCATTCTAGTAACGATTTTACGGTTAAATGTTTCAACGAGCGTTTCCTTTAAATTCCCACAATGCTTCAGAGGAGTAATTAATAAAATAATTTGAAGCTGACCCGATGTATCAAATGCATCATAACAGTCTCAAAACCCTTGTACTCATAATTAAATTCATAGGAACAGGTGCAAATGACACAGATTTCAGGGAATGATTGATGTGAACACCGACAACGATTCAGCTATGAAATGATTATTGGATGTGTGGAAAAGTGCGGTGGTCGTATAGAGTGATTTGTGTTCATTATTTGCGTGAAAATTGCAATGAAAGCATATTTGTCATGCTGTATATTGATATTGATACTGATAATATCTGACTGATAAATGTTTGTCGTTAGTTGTATGACCCTCTTTAATTGGCCGACATGTCGAGGTTTACTGTTTAATCATGAAAAAAAATTGAAATTTTTGCCCTGTAATGTTTCGACCAAGATGTGGAAAAACTTCATCCACAAAATAGCGATTTAGCTAATGTACAGGCGATGTTCTGCTTAGATTAAATTCACATAAATGCTGCAGTTTAAACAAATTTAGTCGAATTATTATCAACTGTAGAAATAAAAGGCATGCCTGGTGATCACGACATAGTCGGTGATGAAAGAATTTCTATTATATAGCAGGGCAGTTTTGATGATATTATTGCGGCCCATAAGATGATTACTAACACCAGAATTTCAGTCACAAATTTCACATGGTTGAAGACATAGTTAGAAGCAAATTGAACTAAAAAAATTGAACAGTTGAAAACTATGATAGCATCGCATAAGGTATTTACGAACAAAAATTTTTATAGAGTTAAGATTCACAAATGTTACAATGAGGGAAGTCAAGAACAAACTTTTTGAATCATTCCTCAAAGCTCCACAAAGGAATCGAAACAGAACAGATCGTTCATTTCGCTAGCTAAATTTCAAGTAACAAGTAAAAGTTCGGTTGGTACATTTCGGATCAATGCGTTAACAATTAGACCCGAGAAAATGTTTAAATATTGAGGAAAGTAACGCCTTATTCAGCTCGTCAACAGCACAATGAATTAGTAAGACACCATGGCAACGATGTCGCTCACCTTGAGTGATGTTTTGATGTCTTGGTCGCCCATGGTGACGGCTGCCGCTCTGTCCTTGTCGGTGTACTGCTCGCTCAGTCCGGTCAACTGCATAATTTTATCATGTGAGTTAAAATAAAAAAATTATAACTCAGTACTCACTGCAGTGAGTGACAGAGAGCGCACTTTCTCGTTGACGAAAACGTGAAGTCACGGACAAACAGACGGACAGACAGACGAACATGACGAGCACAATTAGAGCATTTTTTTCAATAAATGAGAAAATGCAATAAAAAGAAGGTTTAACGAGATAAAGTTTACATAAATTTTGCAGAAAAATGTAATGATAATAAAATTGGCTGTATCGCAATTGAAGCTAAATTTCTTTATTTAATGACAGTTTTAATCTAGTTAATAATGAAACTGGGTGTGACTTTTTTTGCCATCAAGGAATTTATATTCAATTTGGAAACAAAATACAAATGAACTATCATTGATTTTTAGCTCTTCTGGAATTAAATTACCTTTTGTTTCGAATAGCCGTGAATTTGGTAATCATTCACAAGTAGGTATTATTTTAGCAACCTTGGTTTGAATCATCATTACTTAATTAATTGAGTTTCTAATGACATTAGATCTTCACATCAGCAGTTTTAATTTAAAGTTGAAATAATACCAAGTTTCTGAAAGTTCAATAAGTCATAATTAACGACAATGCGTTGATTTAAAAAAAATAACACCTGCCATCAATGGAAATAGACATCATTTCACAAACAATGATTCACTTAATTTTGTTTCGTTGTGCTCGGTATAACCGTAACCTAAGCACACCCATGGTTGAACTATAAAAGGTTGACCCACGAGGATTTCCGTATTTCAGTTCAGCTTTCTTGTTACGTCACTGAGATCGAGAAACGTAAACAATCCCGCCATTCCCATAACGGATTGGTTGACTGGTTTGATCGCATATCGGTAATTGGTTAATGCCCGTGAAGTTACTGAGATCAGTGACGTCACAAGCGAAAAACGGATTACATCCGCAAAAATGGCTTCTGATGGGTCAACCTTATACTAGCTCAATCATGAAGCACACCATATATCACTGTTAAAAAAATTACCGTTAACGGTATTACCGGCGTTCCAGTGGCCTGTCGGCACGTGAAAAGAAACACTGTGTCGCCGTTTTTATTCTAATTTAACACTAGAAATCCGTAAAACATCTTATAAAAACGGCGAAACAGTTTATTTTCACGGGGTGACCGGCCACTAGAACGCCGGTGGGACCGTTTTTTCACCGTTTTTTCTAACACCATACCTGTCCTGCCTGCCTTCGTTTGTGTTGCAGCTCCCTCGCCAGCAGGAGGCTGGCACCCTTCGAACGTAGCCGAGGAGTGTTCTCTCTGTAAGATATAAGGTAATTATTATTCTATTATTGGTAGCTAGAAATTTTTTTACGAATTCCAATAATGTCATTAATCTTTGATGGCGTCAAAGAATTCCAGATGGAGATGGAGTCATGAAAAGAGTCATGGAGAAGGTCACGCAGTAATCTAATGCATTTGTATGCGAACAAGAATAATCGAAATTTCGATTAATATTGTTTATTATTATTATTATTGTTTTTTCGATTATTATTGTTTACGTTTTTCGATCGTAAAATTTGTTGTAGCAAGTTTATGCGTTAATACGGTAAAAACTTTGAGTTAACATGAAAATGACCTCTCTATTGGACAGTGAAAACAACTAAAGATAAATCGACTCATGAATTCAAATGTACCATCACATTATTCGTGGTAATGAGAAATTATGTGGGTTATTACACCAAATAATGAACAAATTAGCAATGGGTATTGAACGCAGATAAATATTGCAAGCTGATTCTGCTCTTCAAAACAAGAAACTTAAAATTACTGTAAAAAGCATTGCCACGAATATAGTTAGCCTGGTTATCTTAAAGGTGGGAGATTTCGGCAAATTTGATGTGCTGGAGAACATACAGTTCAAAAAATGAAAGTTAATCAGGAGTTCCCGTTAAAATCATGGGATAAAAAATGTTCAACAGTTTTTTCTAGTCGTAAGTTTGAAATTCATATAATTTATTCATTGATGATAGATATTGAATTTGAACGATAATTACTGTCCCCTTAACCTTTATCTTCTTAGCATCACTAAATCTGTCACTTAATTAACCGAATATTGTCTCGTCTGACTGTAAATTTCAGAAGCAGCGCTCCAAATTCGAAATTTGAAGTTTTATTGTTTGATATAAATTAGAGAAACCTCAAGCTTTGTTTCTAAGCTGAATATTTTGGTTATTATTCAGTGCAGAAAACCAAGCATAAATGCTTGAAATTCTATTGCAGATTTGCCTATCATTGCACTTAATTCAGTGATTTTTCAGGAAAAGTTTATGGAATCACTGCAATTCTAAGTAATTATGCTATAAATTAGTGTACTAATTACAACAATTTCCAGTAATAAAATGAAATTATTTAAATATTTCTGCGTGAATGGATTCATTTCTGAACGTTTTTATATAAGTGATCCATTGATCAATTAACTAATATACATTTGGATGGATATCTACTATCAGTTTCAAAATTTTAATAGGTGCAAGCATTTAAAATACAGCATTACTTAACTCTAAAATAAGAAAAAAACGAAAGAGAAAGATTTTCCAAGTAGAAAATCTTAAATTGTTCACGTTCATCAATAGAAAGCAGTTGATGGAACGCATCGTTCAAGACTTGGTTTCAGTGTCACTAGCTGGAACTATGCCACCGTTTATCGGTCCCAGTTTGAGATAAAGTCATATTGATCAGTTTATTTAATTATCGTTTTTAGTGTTTATGAGCAAACTTATTCCATATATTTTTGAATATTCAAGCTTGAGCAAAATTCAGAATATACCTGAAAATATTTCATGATGTTGCCAGAACCAATCTTACTGTTTGATGATTGATGACTGACGTGCAACGATTACAAAATGATGGTGAATCAAAGAGAAGGCTTAGGTAAGCGCAGCCTATAACTGAAAACAGTAACTTCAAATCGAAATACAATTTCATTTTCGTGGATTTATTCACATTATATTCTCTTTTCTTTCCATATGCAAACATTAATTAGTCATTGTCTCTTATTAGCATGACAAATTTCAATTCATTACTGTATTATTATTAAAATATAAAAATAATCTTAACGAAGTTCATGATAAACAGAAAGGTGCATATTGAAAAAAATTGGTAATTATTTAACTCGAAATCACTACAGTATCAATATCAATCTTCATCAATATAAATACCAGCGCGCATTAATGAAACTGTCGTTTATTGTACGTGAAAATATTTTAATTAGTAGCTTTGCAGTCTTGCTGAGACATGTATGAAAAATGCAAGTCCAGTAGAGGAAATCTGTCCCAAGTCCGTTTTTTTTATTATTCATTTGTAAAATAAACTGTTATTATATGTCCATTATTTAATATATTAATGGCTGCTGACGACAGGAGTGCAACTTGACTAAAAATAAATGAAGGAGCCAGAGTCTGCTCTGAATTAACGGCTAAGCCACACCAATTGATCTTAATAACGATGGGCCAAATCTTTGTAACTTGACAGCGTCCACTTTCCCCCTGTAATTAACCAATCTTAATGAATAGCTTCCTTTGTATTAAACAAGACGCAAATAACATTTTGTGTGAAGAATGTTTCTCTTGCTGAACAGATCAGCTGTTCCGCTGTTATGGTCTTCCAGAGTATTTGGCCTTTTCCATGTGTTGCAACATGAAATACTCTTAATTAATGATAAAATACTATGAATACTTTTTATACCTGACTCGTTGAACTAAGAATAGAGAGGATAAATATTCAAAGGATGCGTATATGAAAATAAATTTAGAAAAACAGAAGTAAAAAAGCAACACTATTTTTCAATACAGATGCACAATTTAAGCGACATGATGACATTCATTTTGATATAGGTCGTCGAAGCACCAAATTTTGGACGAGAATTTAAGGATGTAATATATAATATATGTAATATATCAGCAATCTAGCTAAAACATTTTTAGGTACTTGCTTGATAACAAAATGTGTCTATGAAATAATAATATTCGAGAAACCAAAAACCAAGTACGCACTTAATTGTATATTTAAGTCACTACGTTCCTCGAGCTTATCATTCACGATTCTGAACTCGGTTGATAGGCTACTTCGATATTTTGATAGCGTTTACTAAAATCTGGGTAAAATAAATTCTCTCCAACTACGTTCGGTATATGATTTGAGTGATTTGTATATATGATTTTTTAGTATAGGCTAGTATTAATCTTATTCTCTTCGATTGAATATATGCGATATTAAATTTACATCTGTAAATTCTTTCACGTATTCGGATGTAAATTTTCAATATTTTGAATTTCTATTTCTTATATGCGACAAAACACTTTTGCTAACATCCACAAGAACAACAAATGAAGCATTATACTTGCAAGGTGGATGAGTATTATACAAAAATTACTTTAACTAAAGAAGTCAGCTGAAAATCATTTTGATTATAAAAATTTAATCAACTATATGTCTCAATTAATGGTCCAAGATTAAGCAACAGCAATTCCCTCACTTTGTAATTGCGCAGAACGTCAAGCATCTAACACTCGTGCACGACTGTGTGTAGTGATCCTTATTAGGCGCTGAACAATACTTTCCTTGGAGTCAATTTTTAATGTTCTGTTTCTTCACAGTTTGTCTTGCTTCTTAACAATGTTTAATATTGTTCCAATGAATGCTGAATTCACTTCTATTCACTTCGCACTTGGTTTATATAATTTTGAGATCCCTTCAATCAAATTAAATGGGTTACCATGCTACAGCCTGGCGAACGAATTCAAATGGAAGAAAAATATCAGTAAAATGGCTACAATGAGCGTTTTAATATAATTTTCACGATTGAAAACAAGAATATTCTCAGTGTATATTTTGCTCATGTTTTTGAAACATTGCCATTTCATCGTTCCTAGCATCATTTGTAATATTTTTCTTGCTTGCCGGTAATTTAATCTGAGTAAAATAAATTTCGCCTCGAAATTAATAAAATTAGTTGTTGACATTTACATATACAAAATTTATGATATATATAATCATAGATCGTGTTAATATATTTGAATTAATATCTATATTGTCTATTTGAATTGTGAGATCATTAATTAATGTTTACTATCGAAAAAGGACTAGCAAAGTTGTCAAGTTTTCCATAATAGTCAAGAAAATAAATTAAAACACCAGCGATAAAATTATACACCACAGAGAGAACTTGAGATCAAGCCTGCAAACATTGGCTTGATAAAGCACTTCACGAGCTGCCTAAAAATCAACAATCGAGCCTATATGTGAAGTGACTCTCCAAAAGGTAAATTATTTTTACGTCTAATTATCATAGGAACCGCACTATTAGCAGTTTTAATATATACCACAATACAATCTTGGTTAGAATTTAATTAGACCATCCACGGTCGCGTTTAAATGTGACTTCCTATAATCGGCGAATGAAGAATATAAACATTTTCTCGGAATGCTAAAAAGAAAGGAGATTCCTCGAAGTGTCGTCACGACAACCACATTTTATCGCAAAGATAGGGCCTGTCAATGGACATCTGCATTGCTGGAAAGTTTTATTTCTATCAATTCGTAAGCATAACACTCTTTAAAATCTTCGGTTGTACATTACACTGACTGAGCACGCCAGTACGATCAATATTTCATCAGAGCACGTCTGTACGATCAATAGTTCATTCAAGTTCTGGCGCTCAACCAATGAAAGTATTAGATAAACTTCCATGAGATTCTCCTCAAAGAACTTCTATCTCTTCTTCAGAGATAGAAAGTTCGATGAAATTCTCTAGTATCAGCAACTGTCTGTTCAAAAATAATTGAGGAATACGGAACCGTTTAACTTGAAAACACCGCCGTTTATATCGCTCGATAATACGGTCGATCAGTGCTGAAAACACCAGCACTGATCGAGCTGGTCAGTGACGATGCTGCTAGTTGCTCAGGTAAGAGTCACGGCATCACTAAGCTGGGTCACGTCGCACGAGGGATGTGCGTCAGGTCACGAACAACTGCTGCTATTTATGCTCCATCGTTGCTCAACTGCCGCTCCATTAACTGGATGAGCGTAACGCAGATTGCTTCACACAATCAACGAGTTGGCACAGTCATATTACCCATTGTTCAACAATGAATTTAAAAATTATATTTTTTGTCAATAATTAAATTGCATTTTAGTAGAAAATCCCTGCATAAATAATTTATAATTTCCGTTGCCAAAACGCTCAGGTTTTATTTTTAACGAGAAATTACTCTGGAATTTACAGATGGATCTGGTGGAAGGTCGATGGAAGCTT